AATATAACTTCTTTAATAACAGACTTCGCCTCTGTTATGTGATGTAACAATCACATCCTAATCTCCCTGTATTTGCTTTATACTACAGTGCAACGGGTAGAGCATAACACAACTACTGCCAAGGTTGTGGATTTGATTACTAGTGGGACCACCTATGCTAAAAATGCATGCACTCACAATACAGCAAGGCCACATGGGTTAGGATATCCACCAAATGTACTATCCTATGCTGCCAAGACACGAGGAGATTTACTCAGCTATAACAACTTCAGTGCAAGGTCAGGCTTCTCTGCCACACTGAGATCTGACACTCATCTGAATACCTTTGGCAGTGTATAGAAGCGAAGTTGGATGGCTGTGTAGCGGAGCTTCACAGTGTCCAAATTGTTGATGCTGAGAGTTCAGCAGCATCTATGAATGTTATGATGACCGCTCATAATTGCACACTACAAGGAGCGATGTTTTGAAAGAAAATATGCTTCAAACTTAACTTGTCTGTGGTGAGACCAACAAAACAGAGTGTGTGTTTCTCTTCGTGTATACTGTGTGTGATTGAAGTGAGACAACAATGCATGTGATAACATATGGTTAAGGGACTCTCTGTGGAGTAGTGGTGCATGTGTGGGATATCCAAGATGAGTGTGGGAGTATGTTGATTGGCAGACATTCTTCTGTGTTTGTGTGTGTGCTTCCGGTGTAATGATAACCCTCAGTCTCTTGCCAGGCAGCCGGCTGCTCCTCTTAACCTCCGGGTCTCTGCCAACTCAGGAAGCCCAGTAAAATGGCCTGCAGCTGGGTCACAAAAGAGCCTGGGCCCATTAGCTACTGAAGCAACCAACAGCCATACTTCATGCAAAATGACAAACGCATGTGGTTTGTGTTCATACCAAGCAACCCACTATATGTGCAGCAGTCAAAACAAGCAGGTAGTACACCACAACAGATAGTATCAGTTTCTGTTTACTGGGGAAAAACTGGAGGATCAACTGCAGGCTTCTACTGAGGAGTGAAGGTGGTGTAAAAGGGTGATAGCTCTATCTAGAGGTTAAACTAGGAGACAGCTGAAAAATTCAGGACTTTCTCACAAAAACCAGTGATTAAAGAGGTAGTCAGAATGTAGCAATACCACACTGTACAATTATTTTGTGTTGAAAAATGTAAAATGAAAAATGCAAATATATGTATTACTAGTAAAACACTAACAGTATCAAAAATAACAATATATAATAATAACAGCAAATAAACCAAAACAGACAAGTTCATCTCACTATAATTTGTTTGATCATTTATATAAGCATTATTATACTGTAAAAATACATCCAAATGTTGTGCACTTGTCCACTGAGGTTTAAACTACTGTATCAGTTCAAGTACAGTACACATAGCACATGGCAAACAGGAAAGTCAGTGTCTTAACAGTTCCTTTGCCAATTGTAAAATAAACATACTGTACAAAAAATAAATAAAAATACCATAAAACAGACTGACTACAACGTAAAAGTGTGCATAGATTACATGGTTAGATTTGCCTTTGCAATAGGAGTAAATGATACAGACAGTATAATGTAAAATGTATCAGCTTTTTCTACTGAATATCTCAAAAATCTTATGTCTTGCCACACTCCACATGCCTCTATTGGAAATTTTTTAGTGAGTGAGTTAATATCTATTTAAATATGAGGTATTGAAGTAACATGACACTCTAAAGGAATATGTGTGGTCCTGTATCACAAACTGGTCAGATTCTTCAGTGGACAGGATGTCCCTCTTCAGGCCTTTCTCCCCTCCACATCACCCGCTGACCCGTTCTATTCACACGTCCTGGACCGAGCAGCAGATACAGGAGTAAAAACTCATACCTTGCTCTTTACTGTTTGTTCTTGCCTGGGATAGAGATGAAAAAGAAACACACTTATTGTCACTCTGCAAGTGAAGTCAGAGAAATGACCACAGTTACAGAAAAACATCATCATGACATCATACAAAAATAGATTATATAGCAGCAGAATTACAGAATTACAAATATGTAAGTAATGTACAACACATTGATCTGTGTTTTAAAAAAAATCCCTTTGTATTATGTCAATTTAGTCAGGAACTGAGTCTTTAAAGTTTTATATTTTAATAAAAAGTAAAAGTTACATTTGCTACTTCAAGTGCATTTTGCTATTAATAATTCTGCATTTTTACTTTGATTGCAGGAATTTTACTTGTAATGGAGTATTTTTACAGTTTGATGTTACCTTTACTTATTTCTACATCCACCTCTACTAAGATGTCAGTTTTCCAAAATCATATTTAGTCATGTAGGTTCTGTATAGTTGCATATATTTGCAATGTCTGTGCAGATTCTCAGTCATCCAGGTCATAGTAAGCTGAAAAAACTGGTGTCAGTCAGGCTGAACACCAGTCAGTCAGAACTGATGAAGCCTCTTGGATGAGAGGTGAAACGTCTTCGACCTAGGAATCTAGTCCAGTTGATTTTTTCTAAGTTTTTTCAGCATATATTTGCTGTTATATTGTGCTTAGTGTACAAATGACTGTAATAATACACACCCTAAAACCAACGTCTCTCTTGGGAAACAATGCTCTACTTACAGTACTTCAACAGATCTCGCTATGGACAGTTCTTCTTATTTTTTACATTTGGCTGAAGCTAGTTCCCATTTAAAATGGCTGTCAGGGAGGTTTGTGGATCATTCTGAGTAACCTGGAGTACTGTTTCTGGACAGTTGGGTTTTATGATTTGGGTGAACTTTTATAACCCACATGCCTGGAAGGTAAAAAATAAACAGTGGTTAGTCTAGAATGTTTCACTCATAATACCTTTGCTGGGGATGAACTTCAGCGAGTGGCTGAATATTCAAAAACGTGACACTCCCTCCTTTGGTCCATCATTCAAAAACTCATGGCCCAGCCCGTTGCCACACTTGCCACACAAGACCTGTGCACATGCAGCAACACCATCGCACATGAAATCTACTGTCATAGTTTGTATAGGTCATAATCTGACAAAATATACTCCAGTTAAGGTAAAATAATATTACTGATCCTTGTGTGCACAGAGAGCATCAAAAAACAACAACTATTCAGTGTTAATAAATTACCTTGTAGGCAGTGAGAGTCTCCATCTGTTTGGTGACACTGTCCTCTCTGATGGTGTCAGCAAAAGCCGGCCAGGGGGACGAGTGAGCAAACTTGGAGCGACTGGAGAACAGGGGATGGTTACACATGGAGCACACATACATACCTGCGGGGACAGTTATTTAAAAAAAAAAATACTTATTTAAAATAATAAAAGAGGTCAAGACTAAAATGGGCTCCAAGATAAATCTGATAGATCAAAATTGGTTAGGAATTAAATAAAAACACAAAGTTGCTTTGCTTTTTTTTTTTTTAGATGTATATTCAAATAAAACAATAAGAGAAGGAAAAGCACTTTTTGTTTTAACAGCTAAAAACATGTGTCAATACTTAGGTCATAACATGTGATGAGGTGCAGAAGTTGATTTATTTCACAACGTTGAGCATCACTGGGTCATTTTACATAAACATGGCCGGTGCCAGCTGATTTCAATGCCATTCTTCTTCTTCATCTTATTATTATCTGTTTATGTTGGGAGCTTCACTTTAATTTGAACAGCTCCTTATCAGTTCTCCAAATGTTGTCACACCACGTCCTTCCTCTGTACCTTTCAGTGTGAGATTACACAATATTTTGATATTTATTAAAATAATTAAAAATCATTTAAAACTGACATCCTAATAATTTAAGTACTAGCTCCAAAATAACACCGTCATTTTATCCTCCATAATCCCGACAGAACGGAGGCTACCTCGCATCACTGCTCAACGCCTGCTCACCTGGTGTGAAATTATCCCGGTAGAGCTCACGGTCAAAAAACTGACAGAATGACATGTCTCTACAAAACAGACGGAGGCAAAATAATGACAATAATTTGGTTCGCCTGTCTTCTGACTGCAGTGACGGACAACCGGCCAGATCACGAAGGAGCCGTCGCTGTTTTCGTCCTCTCGCGTGAGGCGCTCATGGCTGGAGATTTAACGGGAGCTCCGCCCAATGCAGTAATCTACATGACCGCTAGATGTCAGTGTCTGCCAGCTTGTCTCTGGGGGTCATCTGCTCCTTTCCAAAGATTTTCAACAGTACAGACGTGCTGGAAAGCAGAGCATCAAATTTTAAGTTGCCCCCAGCTGATACTGGACTGTCTCATTTTAGGCTTATAAGAGGTTCAAACTACGATAAGACAATTTTATTTTAGAGACTATTTTAGAGTCTTATTAACCTGTTCATATTCTTGTCTGAGAAGTGGGACTTATAAGCTAATATAGCACAGTATTATTAAAAAAATATTGTAAAAACCTATACTTGGGAGACAGTTAACTAATTCAAAAGTCCCAGAAACATTCATATGAACTTGGGTTTTTATGTACGTTAACCATTTAATGTTTGTCTGATTTTCTGACCTATCAGTAAATCAGTGTGACCCATGCAAACCACTTTCACTGCTACAACCACGTGTGATCTGATATGATGCCCATTCCTACAACTTAAATTATTTACCTGTTAAGCAATACAGATTATTTAAAAGCTCAAGATACTGACAAGACAGTATACACTTGGGTTAATAACATCAAAACAAATAATAAAGATTTTCGTCTTGATGACATAGCCTATGACATAAATAAACTGAATTATTCCTTTAGTAAAGTAATGATGAATCATACCACAGTTATTCCAGCACATATTGTAAATGGTGAGGAGAAAGTTGATACATACATTGATCACACTGGTAGCCACTTACCAAATATTGTGAATTTATTTTAGTGAGCATTTGTCTTCTCAGGAAAATAACCTCAAATTTATCAGTGCCTGGCATATATCAAGAGCATAACCATCACAACACTTTCAACTTTATTTTATACATTAAACGCAGAATTTGATAATGAAGCCTATGGTGAGACATTGTTTTCTTGGTAGAAGTTGCATGAGTTCAGAAGTGACATTGCTGTCAGGTCTACGTCCTTTATTCATACTGGCAGTAGTGCTTGAGCACTGCTGGCAGCTCCAGCCAGTCAATGGCCATCCTGTGGACAACGTGCTTCTGGATGGCCTTTCTACACAGCGTTTGTAAAGATGAGACTGGAGCAACAGAAATGAAAGGACAAATATAGGTAAGTGACAAAGTCATGAAGAAATTCTGGAAAAAGATGCATTAAATGTATGGATGGATTACTCAATGGGCATACCTGACTGTGACAATTCTTTTTTTTCTTAAATTAAACACAACAAGGCACAAAATGACTACATAAAGATAATCAAACCAAAACAACATCAATGAGATGCAAAGTAATGACAAAAAAAACCAAAATGACTTCAAGAGCACCTAAAATGACTGTAAAGTGACCCCAAATTCCTACAGAAAGACTTAGAACTACAAAGAGATGTAAAACACCTACAAAGACACACAGGGTGACTGCTAAAAGCTGCTAAATAACAACAAAAAGATACAAATAACTACAATGAAACAAAGTAGTTACAAAGACATGCAAATGATCACGCTGAGACACAGAGAAAGTGATATCTCTGAGTTGTTTGTCCCTGAAAGAGAGACGTGATAAGTAGCATATAGTGACATGTCTGTGTCCTGGGCCCTTTGTCCCATAATCCATCCATGACTATCAATGTGACACTCACATCCATACTCCACCTGGACAATTCGGACGCATTTAGTAGCAGCAAAGACATCCACCACAGCATAGAGAGGCTGGATGGTGGGGATCCCTTTTGCAGAAGCTCCCATGTCCTCACCATTGATGATGATATGCATATCACCCAGGTCTGTCCCTTTAGGCACGTATAGTACACCTATCCTGCTACGTCTGGCTGTGGGAGGTAGGATGTTGGTCTTATACAAGTCGTCCAAAATGTGGCTATACCGTCCGGGTCGGCTCCTACCAACCAGTTTATCTTTGGGGATTCGAAAATTTTCAATGAACAAGTGAGAGTCGGTGAAGAACATCTTTGGCTTCATGTTGTCTCCTCCTCCCATATCTCCATCCTCCCCTCGACCAAGTCTCTGTCCCCCAGCCAGTCCTCTGTCTCCTGCCTCTTGGACCTCAGGTTCATCTAAGATCTTGTTGTGGTTGCGAGTGATGGCAAAGACCCAACTGTCCCCTAACTCTGTCAGGTCTGGGATGGAGTATTCCGGTACCACCTCTAAGGTCCTAGGGTCCCTGGCTGTCAAGCCAATCCGGAGGTGGCCACACCAGCCCAGCTCCTTATCCTCTATCTCAATAAGAAATATCTCCCCAGGCTTCAGTGGCTGTTTGCTGAAACACACTCCATTGGCAAAGCTCTCCACCCGTGTGGCCTGGGTTCCTGAGTGGTCCAGTCTAACATTGGTACCATGGATGGGGTGGAATTCCATGAACTGGTCAGGAAAGGGCTCCATTTTCAGGTATGTTTCCACCAATTCACAACAGTCAGAGATGGATGAATATCAACAAAGAATTCATAGACTACCAGCAAAAAAAACAAACAACCAAAGGGAATAAACCCAACAAATAAAGACACACTTACTAAAACTTTCCAATCAAACTGACTTGCAGTGGTTTTTGACCCAGTGGCCAAAATGTGGTCTTTGTAGAGACAACAAAAACTTGAAGAGACACACGACAGAGCCCTGCTCTGCCTGTCTGCTGGCCACTCAGAGACGTTTCTGGTAGATGCTATTTTTGAACAGCTGCATATGTCAACAGATAGCGGGGTATGTGTGTCACTGTGTGTGCGTCATTTCGATGTGGGGGGTGGGGTGGCCAACATGCACATGCCCAGTCACTCACACACCAGACATGCAGAGACTGAGTTAGTGGGTATACTGAGGCACTGTGGGCCCCATCTTGCACGCCCATATACTGAAGCAATATCTGTGTAATTATCATAATAGCATATGCCAGCGAGATACAGTATGTTAGCAGCAGGCCTTTCATAGCTGCACTCTAACTACAGATTTCATTCTTATGTAAAGATGCAAATAAAGTAATAGACCAGGATAGAGAGGTCTGTAGAGATTTATTATGATAATGGGTAGTAAGAATATAGAGAGAACTTTGAAATATTGTAAAAAGGAAACTGTGGGCAGATTCTTTTTATATTCATTATATATGACTAAGAGTAAAGGCTCCCACACAGGGTGTCACTTATTGTTGATTTATAGTAGCTCATATCATTTTGGCATAAATGTATCAGCTATTTTTATGGAGTCATATTAATTATATATAAATCACAAGCTAACTCATACCTGTCATAGTGATCATTAGTTACATAACTGGTGGATGTTGGAGTCATTTGTCATGTGTACAAAAAATAATTTCTTTGCAGAAAGTAGGACAGAAGTCGCTTATCAAAACTGAGGCTTTAAATGAATAGTAGTAATAGTTTTAAAAAAAAGAGATGGCACATTATTTCCCTTGCAAATGAAAAGTTAATCAAGACACAAAATACACTGGGGGGCACAAGCTGCCTGAGGGGCAGGGGTGAAAAAATTCAAAGGGCATCTGATGTGTGTGGATCCCCATCAGTAGAGAACAATGACAGCAACATATACAGTACAGGTCCTAGGGCGCTTTCTGATTTACTCATGACTGAGACCCTTACAGGAGTTTGGCATGTTGTCCTGTAGTGCTTGATTGCATCTTGTGCAGACAGGGACAGGACTGAAGCTGCTGTTGCCGCTCATGCTACACCTCCTCTATAAACACTGTGTAATAATGACAAATGCCCATAATGCTATCCGTATAAAATGACATGAGCATATAATAATATGATGCATTAGTTTATAGTACGCTACTCCTAAGCAGCATTGTAGCACCAAAATACCTGGGCTTGAAGTCTCATTGTGCCCCCTTCCCCTTAACACATCAGTTTTCAACACTTCAATAGTGGTTGATTTAGAACTTCACAAAACATTAACAGCATGTAAAATTTCAAAATTGAAGATAAAAAGAGATATTTTACTTTATAAGGGCCTTCCCCATGTTGAGGTGGTATTTTCCTCAGTATCACAACTGGGTTTATACCCAACCAGTACAAAAATTAATCAGCAAAATATAATTACGCAGCAGTAACAGATAATAAAATGAGACCAATAAGTGTACATACTGTTATTTGAGGTGTTGAGTGGTGATGCCTCCAGCCAGACAGGTAGTCCAAGAACACCTCCTCCAGTCAGTGATGGATGAAGTATTTTCTCTCACCCCAGCTGGAGCCTGGACACCACCCTGCCCTGCTCCTCACATTGTCATTTCTAGGGCTTCTAGAGTGTTTAATGTAGGCCATGATGGAAGGAGGAGGAAGGGGTGGGTGTCCATTCTTATGCCCTCTCTGTAGTCATGAAATGTTTTAGGCTCCATCTCCTGGCTATTAGACACTTTACTAAAGAAAAACTGAAAAGTCATATGGTCCTTGTAGGGTTCAGGTATATCCACGCGATTATACACTGATGCTCAACAGAAAATAATGCAGTTGAACCTCACAGGCTGCCCTTTAGTTGTCACTGTTTTCAGACAGCATGTACATTCTGCTGGCATATTTGTGTGGATGACTTTGTGTGTGCCTCTGCTGGGGCTGTAGGATTTATAATCTGGATTAAAGTGCTCTTTATAATCATTTTGGTGATCTGGGATTCTCGGTAACCATGACACATCTGGATGCAGGCGGTCGGTTATGGGGAGGTGTGTGTGGCTGTGCCACGGACAGAGAGGGAGAGAAGGAGAGAAGGAGAGAGAGAGGGAGAGACTTGAGACCTCTCCCGTCGCGGTCTTTGCGCACACAAATGGCGAGCGAACTGGCAGGACGCATCACTGACCAGCGGGCTTAGCCGCATTTCAATGCTCAGAAGTCTTTTATGGTAAGTAAACACTCGTAATTACGCCATTACGTTTGCGTGTTTTTGCTTGTAAAACATCATCAGTATTGCAGAAATTAGCAATTTTATTCGAAAGTAGAGTCTGTGGAGAATAGCCTATTCTTTGGTGCACAGAAAATACACTTTAACTGACGATGCGCACTGATAGCGTCGCAGCCACACTTGTTTGATCGTCCAGAAAGAGGAGTGGGATGGGGTGCCGACCTTAACTTTATCTATATAGCCACTGAGCAAGTGTATTGTGCTGTATTGTATGTATTGCTTTTGGATCGGATCACATTGCCCGGTTGGTTGTGACGGGTGAAACTGATTTTCAGTAAGTCTTTAGGGAATTAACACCTGTTCAACCCACTTGTCTCTCGTTTATCAATAACAGAATTCAGCTGGAATTATTTTCATTTTAATTCACCTGTAGTGGCTAAAATGATTAATTGATTATGAAAATAGTTTAAGTGCTTTTAAAATTACTTTACAGGACACATAATTACAGGAAAGAAGCAGGGGCTCAGTAGGATTAGGGTAAATGTCCTTTCACAGTAGCTACAGTTTGTCATGAAAAGGGCCACTTTCATTTGCAATAGTAAAATTTAAATGACTTTAATATTAACTTTCTAATGTGATAAATGGACTTACACTCACTGTGAACACCCTCATGTACTGTAAATGGGATCACTGAAATCAAAGCAACTACACAGGATTGTGATGTTAATAAGTATGATCAGAAACAGAAACACTGCTTGGTTGAGCCTCTTAATCCCGCTGTGTGGTTTGTCAGATTTCACAGTGAAACTCTACATTAATGTTAATCTGAGATTGTCATTGTTTGTGTCTGATCATAGGCTGGCACACAAACACACTAACTTCTACACACACTTAGTCACAGGCATGTTGTTAGGTTGATACTTTTAATTTATGAACAAATATAAGCAAAACTAACATCATTCCCATTAGCCTCAGCTGTACTTTGTGTTTAGTGCTAAACACCAGCATGTTTACATTGTCACTGTGAGTATTTAGCCTGCTGACATTTAACCCACAGCACCACTGTGCCTCGGTACAGCCTCACAGAGCTATGGCTAAACACTGTTTTTTATCATGCAGTATTTCTTTGTGTAGCCAGACATATATGTTACAATGCTCTCTTCAGTGGATATTGTGCCATTCAAGGCCAAAAGATGCACCTTTAGTCATTTCAGTATGATAACATCTTTATTTCATGTGCAATGAGGTTTTGCAAAAAAGCCAAGTTGTAGCTGCAGAGACCTAATAAAAGGGCATGTTTAGTGCAAAAAGAACACAGCATCTTGGGTTCATGTTCAGCAGTTTTCAAACTGACAATATGGCAACACTGCCCTGTCCTGTTAGCGTTCTGCAGTTAGCTTAGACAAAAACCGGTTAGCCTAACAGTAATTTAGCCTTTCTTAGGTGTGTGTGCATGCATGTGTGTTCTGTATGTTGCAGCATCTGGTCCTTTTTCCTACCCTGTGAAAAGCCATGAGAAAGGTTTAATGCTGCTTGGCCACATGCGTGACTGTGAAGTTTTTCTTCACAACCATCCATTCTGGGTGAGAGCAGATTAGTCAGAATCTACCAGCTGCTATGGAATTAGTTGAAACTGTGCCACACAGTGCTGTAATACACTTACGTAAATCGGACCAGTCAGAGGTAATGTTTAACTTGCATAAAGAGCAGCACATTTGAGCCAGAGAGGCAGATTATAAAAGGGTCCCACAGCGAGGCTTTGTGCTGTTTCCCAGCTTGTGTCCAGTGATGCAGAACGGCTCTTTCTTCCACAAAATGACAGCCACTAACACACATTGAGACTGTTCGGTGCTGGATTTACCTAGTATCATTTTGACAAGTGAGTAGGTGGAGGCTGTATAATGTTTTATGTGAAAAAGGAAGTGCTGCTGACACACAAAAGCTGCTTGAGGTTAATGGCTGACGTTTGGCTCCGTAGGAGATGAGACCAGAAGAAACTGTAATTTGTTTCCTTTACTCCTTCCCTTCTTCCTGATTTACGTCATACGTAGGCTATCAATTCACAAAGTCAGTAAGGTGATGCCTGTTTTTTTATGAACACATTAGGTATTTGTTTAGAGATTGCTTTATTGGTCAAACCAAAAATCTACTCATGCTGTTTCATTTCATATTCAAGTGCACTGAAATTCCTCTAAGCGAACACATATTCAATCAGACCCTAAAATAAATCAGATCTAAGCTTGAGCTGCCCCAGTTTGTGCAACATTTGGGGGAGAAAGTCTGTCTTATCTATTTTTGCATGCCTCTAGAACTCATTCAGTATGTGGAGTGGCAGCTGTGGGAGACTGGCTTACTCAGCTCTGATTCTGGCTCGCTAGTCTTCAGAATAATGTAGATTTCCACAACTCTTGAGAGCTAAACTACATGACATCCACACATTAATGCGTAGCTGGTACAGGAAAGCGGTTTTGCTTCAAATGAGGCGCAAGCGCAGAAAACTCACCTTCCCTGACTACTTTTGTTTGCCCTGCCTTGGATGGTTAATAATGCAGCTGACTCTGTTCTGTATTTATTCTCTTCCAGTAACTCCTAAGTGTTTGGATTTGCAATGTAAAGCCAGGAAATGGCAGAGAGTGGGAAAAAGGGGGAAAGAAAGAGGGAGGATAAAGGAGGACCTGTCCAGGAGCCCCACAGTCCAGCTCCTGACCTCTCCCCAGTTGGCACCACCTCATTTGGGACCAAGAGGCATCTACCTCGAGGGATTGTGATCCAGTTGACGGGGACAGAGGGCGAGTGGGACAGCCTGGATGACAGTGAGCTCATCTTCTCCCTAGACCATGATGAAGATTATCCCTCTGTATCTTTCACCAAGGAGAGGCACCTTTCCATTGAGGATGACAGAGGGTTTCATTCCCAAGCTTTCCACGTCCCTCTTTCTCCCTCTATCCCTGATTCCTTGGGAAACTGCCTGGCCAGTGGCCCAAGTTACCTCTCCCCAGGCCCTTCCTCACCTACCCACCGACCTCTTCCAAGTCTGGTTAAGTCTCTCTCCACAGAGTTGGAGTTGAAAGACAGCTCCACTCTTAGACCAAAGCCCCTTCTCAGTCTTGTAAAGTCGATCTCCACGGAGCTCTCCCGCTCAGAGCCTGAGGTGTCGCAATCAAAATCAGACTCCCGCCTCAACCTTCATTTGTGGAAGCAGCTGACCCAACCAAAAACCCGCAGCAATGGAGACTCTCGCACTGCGCCGCCTTCACCTAGCTCACCCTCTCCTAGTGGAGAGGGTCTGAAAGGGGGCTTCTTAAAAATGGAGCTGGAGGACACCAAGAGGAAGCTCTCGGAGGCTATGCACGAACCTCTGAGCAGCATGTTTAGTAAGCTCATGAAAGAGGAGGGCACAGGAAGCCCCAAACACCAGTATAAGACCCAGGGGGCTCACCAGGGCAGCTCCAGAGCTTTGGGACAGGGGGGTAGCAGAGACACAGTTTTCTCTGAGTGTCCTGTTAGAAATGCTAGAAAAACAGATGCTGACGTTTTGCCTGTGTTTGACTGGCCTTCTGTAAGACATCTTGGTAGAACTCACCACAGCCGCTGCCCTGTGCATCCCATCAAACAAAATCACACAGATGCAGAGCTGGAAATATGTACAGATGGTGATATGATGCAAGTATTAGCCATCGAGACTCACAGGCAGGCGAGAAAACCACCTGCTGGTTCTCAGGTCTCTGCAGCACCTGTGGTTCAGACCCCACCTCTTCCTCAGCCCCCTCATCCTCTACCACAAATGAGTTTATTCTGTGTGGCAGTGCTGTCCTACAGCTACTTTACTCTACCTCTCAGTCCATACTTGTCTGGCCTGGCTCTAGGGTTAGCACTGGGCTTCTTGCTAGGACTGTTGCTCATTAGGATGGGTTCCTCCAAGCCTCACTGTACAGTTCCTGCCTACAGACCAGCACAGACCCTGTTGGGAGAGGTGATTCTGGCAGGTGGCACTGTCAGCAATGAGCACGACACCCTCAAGGTGAATGGATAGGTCATTATGGAGAAATATGTCACACTGTTATTCTCATCCTTTTTTCAGCCAACTCATTGTCTCTCCAGTACTCATGCATTTCTTAGCATGTCTTCCATCTTAAAGTAATAGTTTGGCATTTTGGGAAATGTGCTTATTTTCTTCTTAAATATATGGTTAGATGAGAAGGTCAATATTACCATGGGTAGATTACAAAGATGCAGCAGTTGCTGAGTATGTGGACCTAGAGTTTAATATAGGTATATGGCAGGAAGAGGTGTGTGATGAGGCATGGTCCTGGACTTCAGAATGGATGTATATACTGTATTATACATATAAGGCATTCTGACCATAGTACCTTTAATATGACTACACTTCCAGCTTGAGATTTATATGAATACACCAACCAGTTTTTCTCCACTTCAGTGATTCTCTTGAAAGTGGTACCAGAAGATACAGGCCAACTCTTTCACAAATTGCCTTATGAGTGAAAAAGATAAAAAATAAACTAAAACTGAATACATTTCTGACTCCAATAACAGCATAACCACTGATAAAAAAAAGGCAAAAATCCATCAGAAAACCTATGTTGTGAAAGTAACTGAGTTCTGACTGCACTTTAAAAAGCACTACTCCAAGTACACTAACAAGAGTATGCTAATTTGTTTTATAACAGAACAGTGCCAGAACTCTTTAGCAACTTTGCCAACTTGTTTCTTCACAGATTAAAGCTTCTGAAAGTGACATGTTGCTCCATGAGTTGCCCAGAATCCAATTAAAACCTTCAATAATAAAAACAGCTGGAGCCGCTGCGGCAATTACTGTGCTCCTCCTGGCTGAGCTTGACACAGGACAACTGGAGAGGACAGCCACTGCCCAGACACTGTCAGTTCCAGAGGCAATTAGTGGAGGATATACAGCAAGCAGGAGGAAGCTGTAATTTGTCATGGCGTGAGGCAGGCGGGGGGACTGAGAGCGGTAGGGATGACTGGATATGGGGCCTTTACTGTTTCAGTGTTGAGCTAATTCCTTAATTTGTTAGCGATTTGGTTTTGGTCTGAGGGTTGTTAAGATGTTAAAGTCAGAGGTGTGAGGTTTGTGAGGTGTTTGGTAATCAGATGACAGAATGACAACACTGTGCACATGTATGAAATGAGGACATAGCTCTTACTTAAGTACACAGTTAGTTAGCTGGCAGATTAAGAGGGCACATCAAGATCTTTAAGAGGGATGATAGCATTCAGATCACATACAGGCATCCTAATGAACACTTTAGCATATATACTCAGCTGGCAGTTTATTAGGTACACCTAGCTACTGTAAAACTAATGCAGTCTAATACAACAGCCCTACAATAACTCCTCCCTTAATGAAGGTGATAATGTTCCGATTGTGTTAATACTGCTTCAGAGAGATGTCGATTCAGCTGTATGGTCAGGTTGGATGCTTTAGTTCATGGTGCTGCTGTATTTTCTAGGTGTTAGCTTCACCTTATTTATATCAATGCGGCTATGGCTGAATCTCCTTACCACTGAAAAGACACAATTGCAATCACATTTACTCTTTTGCTTTCACTTTCACGCTGATTAGAAAAATATTTTTCAAGATCGGAACAAAACCAGATCAAGTGTTTATTCACCTGAAACCGTGCATAGTGTTGATTTGAATTAACACTTATCTTGTGTCGTTTCAGGGCTGGATGAATGAGATACATGATTATGACCCAGAAACCTTTCACCTCGCTCTGACTCATTCAGTCTTTGCCACCCTGGAGGGCTCCTGTCTTCGTCTGGACTCCTCACGTACCAACATCAGGCGCAGGGCTGCATACGATGAGGGAGTTCATGAAGCCACCTTTGTCAAGTCACGCTCCTTTCAGCTTGCAAAGAGCAGAGTATGATGACTGCCTAAATAACTGTGTGAAGGGAATATCTGTACTATATTGGAGACTGCTGTACTCTTTTATAGGATATGCAAAGGAAAGGAAAATATGTCTTCAGTGCACAGCTGCCCAACACTGTGTAGTAAAATATAAAATCAGGGAAAAACCAGGTGAAGACAAAGTAAACAGTCTCTGCACTGTATAACTGATCCTGTAAAAAACACTTAATTAAAAGAGGCACATTGGTGCTTTTAGCTACATGCCAGTGTCAAGATGATAACATTCATAATTACAATGCTAACATGCTGCTATTTGGCAGGTAAACACTTACCATCTTAGCATGTTAGTGTGTTAGCATAACAAATTAGCCAATTAATGTTTACAAATGTACCAAATTTGATTTAATGACAGCACCATGAGAAGTGAAAAAGGGAGAAAATAAACAAAGGTGGAGAAAAGCTTATTCAAAATATAGGTTGACTGGAAACAAATATGACGTGTTGCTCATTTAACAGTTGTCTTTTGATTTGGCATGACAAAACTGTCACTGTTTTCCAAAGGTATTCCTGTTGCCATCTGTGTTAGCTCAAAAGAGGATGTGGAATCCCAAGTATCCCATTTGCATCCAACTGGCTTGCAGAGCAAACTCGCAAGAGGACGGAGAAGGAAGCTCGGAGGAGCGTCAGGGAGCGGAGCCAGGAGCTGAAGCAATAATACCAAAACAAAGTTCCTCCAAACACGCCCATGGCTTTCCCACCATTCTTTACCTGTTTGGCCGCACGGGACGAGAAAAAGAAGAGTGGTTTCGTCATTTCCTGTTTGCATCCATGGATACAGAGAGGGAAAAGGAGAGGAACAGACAGAAGCCTGGCAGATATGCATGCAGACCAGGTATGAGAAATGTTAACAATGCTTTAGAGAAAGGAAGGCTTCTACATAAGACATCCATAAACTATGTGAATTACATGCTCCAATTCATCACATTTCAAAGTCAATCCCTCTCATGGGAACACACAGATTTCACAGTTGTTTGGTGACCTGACAGGGCAAAGGCATCAGAAAAAAAATGTATCAGAAGCTGATTTTTGCACCCTTGAAATTTCTCTCAAAAATTACAACACTTTTTTCTGTGAATGAGTGTAACCAAGATTTATTTTTGAATTAACTTCCACAGCACAGAGAATAAAGCAAAAACAAAAACCTTTCTGACATGGACACTATTATAATCAACCAGGTAAATATGTCTTGTGTTAAATATGTTCCCCCAGGTGACCCAGCACTGGCACACAGTGTGTCTGCCTCAGGTAATGTCCTGAGCACGAGAGGCTCCAGCAGAGTGGGCAGCAGTGATGATGATGCAACTTTCACACCTCCGTTCCTCTGCACCCCTGCGGCTCATGCCAGTCAGACCCCCAGCAGTACCAGGGGCCTTTCACTGCTAGACTACCACAGCTACATGGCTTGTCTCCTGGCCTCAGGGGAGCTGACCCCCCTGTCCAGCCCTGGAGTCAGCAGCACAGAGACAAGCCCCACCATCAAAGGACATGTAGGTTATGCTTGCAGATAAATTACAGATAATTCCAGAGATTAGCAATGTATTTGGTGTATTGCATATACTGTAGCTTGAAGAGGGGACATAGAATGTTAGCATTGACCAGTAAATTCAAAATGGTATTAATCTGCTATAACATACTCTAAAGGCAACAATCTAAATCACAGAATACACTTTATGTGCTGAATATACTCTACGTTTCTTCCAAACCTGCTGTTTTCTTATTCATGCTCAGCCCTGACTCAGTTGTCTTTTATCTACAGTGTACCTGTGATCTAGAAGAAAACCCTGGGAAGAGCCAGGCTGCCTGGCTTAATGCTCTAATAGGTCGAATCTTCTGGGACTTCCTGCGAGATAAGCACTGGGCCAACACTGTTTCCCACAAGATTCAGAAGAAGCTCAGCAAAATCAAAGTATGAGCAGTTTTACTGAAATCGACTGTGGCATTTTAAAGTTACATAAAAGGTCGGCTAAAAATATGCTACATCAGAAATCATTTTAAACTATGATATATCATTTACAGCTGCCTTACTTTATGAATGAGCTGACTCTGACAGAGTTGGATATGGGCTCCTCCATGCCATATATCACCGCTACCTCCAGACCAGAGATTAACCACAGAGGTGAGTACAGACTGGAAATCAAATACTACAAAAATATATGGAAATCAATATGCAAACACATACACACAGATGTACACACACACACACAGTAACATGAGGAGATGAGAGCACAGATGACCTGTTGCTCATGTGATTCCAGCTGAGTACACCAGGGCATCAGATCAGACGTTGTTATCATGCTGTAACCTCAGTTGTTATGCCACGGCCTTCAACATTTAGAGTATAGTGCTTGTGATTGTGTTGTGTGTGCGTGTTTTAAAATCAGTCAGTCTGGCACCCAACACTTCTATTGGTGTATGTCAGTCTCCATTTATCTGCACACTTTGCTGTTAGACAACAACAACAAAAAAAATCCTGTTTTAAGTTTGTGTGGTTGGGTGTTGACTTCTGTGTGGTGCCCACTTAAGGCCTATGGCTGGAGATGCATCTGGTCTACACTGGTGCCCTGCAGATGACCCTGCAGACCAAGTTCAACCTGTCCAAGCTGGGCAAGGAGGGCAACCAGGACACAGACTGTACATCTGAAACTGGTAGCCCACGGTTAGTACTACACACACCAAGCTTATTCTGTACACACACACACGACATTTACCTCTTTCACTTTTATATTTCTTCCAGGTTCTTTAAAATCTTCTTTTATGTATAATAACATTGTGACCATTTTATTGTTACTTGTGCCAGTAGTAGCTCCAGAAAACAGTATCAGTATCATTAACTGGTAAGGGACATGGAGGTCATTCTGATAATACTGTATATGCAGTTTTATATTGATACTTATGCATTAAATGAAGCTATATTTTTGGAAAAATGTCTCTTTGTGGCTAATCCCATTAATCAAATACCTTACAAATCAAGGTACAAAATTCATGTAAATCCAATATTGTCATAAAACAATTTATGTCTTGCAACACAACACAACAGCCTAATGCACCCACAGATATTAAACTTCCATAGTGCTGTGGGATTAAATTCAAGTAAATATCCTGACTTTAGACCCTTTAAAAACTCTGGAGCCTGCAGTTCCCATAATGCATCTCATGAGCATTGGTACAGTAATTACACCCTCCCTGCCCAATACCATCATCAGGGGTATTTTCTGAGTAAGCTGCCCTTCATACGGTATGTAAACTCTGGGGAGTGCCCCTGTGAAAGCAATACCTCACTATATCCACTGTCTCGAAGATATATTTCATCATAACAGTAAACCTGGGATTTTCATTCTCGTCATTTCTATGCCTCGCACAAATAGATCCATCCATCCATCCATTTTCTTCCGCTTATCCGGAGCCGGGTCGCGGGGGCAGCAGTCTAAGCAAAGATGCCCAGACTTCCCTCTCTCCAGACACTTCCTCCAGCTCCTCTGGGGGAATGCCAAGGCGTTCCCAGGCCAGCCGAGAGACATAGTCCCTCCAGCGTGTCCTGGGTCTTCCCCCGGGCCTCCTCCCGGTGGGACATGCTCGGAACACCTCTCTAGGAAGGCACCCAGGAGGCATCCAAAACAGATGCCCGAGCCACCTCAGCTGGCTCCTCTTGATGTGGAGGAGAAGCGGTTCTACTCTGAGCTCCTCCTGGGTGACTGAGCTCCTCACCCTATCTCTAAGGGTGCGCCCGGCCGCCCTGCGGAGAAAGCTCATTTCGGCC